CAGTGGCGCACAGAAGTATTTTGAGAGCACATGCAACTAACAAAAGTGACCCACCCACCCACCCATTTTTTATTTAAAAAAACGTTCTTTTGAACTGTTACTAATTGTTCACTTATACTTTATCTAGGTACCTATAACCATAGGCGTCTATACCTACCCACCCACCCACCTACCCCCCATGAGAGCACATGCAGTGCACCCCTTGCTAACCTATCTGGGCGCCACTGAACTATACTATATTAACCACGCAGCTGCTCCCTTAAAAATGTATAATTATGGCTATGCTGCTTGACTAGTGATAAGTGATAAATTGGCCCATACTGAAAATAATTCGTATATACCCCACTGGGTCATAGGTATTGGGTAGCCTTAGCCACATGTCCATTGCCCACATAGATAGTTCGTAGGCACTATAAAATAAAATAATCATTTACGGCACACCCAGTTGCAAGTTACGTACATACTTGCTTTAGTTTTTGCCTATACAAAACTTCTTAAATGTATAGTATAGACAAGATATATATAGACAAGTATCTACTTACAAAATAAATGATAAAAATTGCAGTAGAACCTCATTAATTCGGACTAATTGGGGCTCTAGGTTGTCCGAAATAATGAAAGTCCGGATTAAACAAAATAATCAAAAATCGTAAATTATAAATTCAAAAAAAAATGCATCATCAAGTGATTGATCTAGTGGCAACCGCATTCTTTTTACATTTGTTTCTTTTTCTACATTAAACTTCAAAACAAATTTTCTTATATCATCTTTTTATACTTCGTTTTCGTGTTTATTTTAATCTACGGCTACGGCACAAACTAGCGTAATTTACGTATTATAAACGGCTGACCGGATTAACGAAGTCCGGACTAATGAGGTTTTACTGTAATAATATAATATAATTCATACGTCTGATAAGGCTTGTGCTTGCAGATGATATTTCTTTGTTTTAGATTCTGATCTTTGATTTCTGAAATCTGAATGTATTTTTGTTTCAACTTATTTGAACTTTAGAGAAGCAATGGTAGGGGGAATTAAAAATTGTGAGTTTTCAGTACCTACTTTACTTTAATTGGGAAAACATAACAAAAATAAACTGAAAAACGACAATATCTACTCAGTACTCAATAAAAGTTTTCGAAAAAATTGGTAACATTTTTCTATTTAGTTCAGCAAAAATAATAATAGCAGACTTGATATTATTTAAAGTTTGAAGTTAAAATTTTTAATTCTGTATTAAGTTCCTTCAAATACATAAAAAAATTAATTTTTGTACAATATTTCCATTCACCAGAAGACCTAAAGTTAAATATTTTATATCAATTAATAAATAAAAAATACATACTATTTTAAATATGTGGGTTATAAAATATTTTTGGTTAACCAATAGTTTCCTTAAATGTAATATTAGATATTTTAAACTTATACTCAATAATTATTCCCTCATTATTTTATTTTATTTTTGTGAAACTGTTCTAACAAATTAAACTTCAAATTATCCTTTTCTTACAATTTTTAATGCTAAAAACAGTAAAGCAGAAAGGGGAAAAAATGCTTGGTGTTGTAGTGTTGTTAATAAAGTCTAACAAGGTAGGATAATATAATAAATGTTAATATAAAATGGTTTAATCAAAAAAAAGTTACAACAAACTTTTGTTCAACACCTGTGAAATAAAAAAACAGTTCTAATAAACTTTTGTGCTGCTCTACAGATAGCAGCTCAACAATTTTTAAATATTCTATCTTCGAAAGTAGAGCCCAACAAACTCAGAAACATGGTTTGAGTGGAATATAAAAGTTATAACAAATTGTTGTATTTTCATTGTGAAGATAAGTAGCAGTGTAAAAGTTAAAAATTTCTAATGTTGAAAAAAGTCTAATAACCTTTAAAAGTTGACCAACAATCTTTAACAAATTTGCTACCAATACTGTTTTCAATGTTAACTGCTATTCTTGTGCTGTTAAGTTCACAAGTATGTTATTATTTCTTATGAAAAACATTGTTGAATGAGCCTAAAAGATGCTTAAATGCTCCAACGACCTCTGAAGTAGCAGTGCACAGTTCTGGCAAATACTATAAATAACTATTATTTATAGTCATAAGTATTAAATTTGATTTTACATTAAAGAATGCATTGTTATTCAATGACTATTCAATGCATAATATGGCATGATAAAGTAAAGTTTTGTTAATAATGAGATTCAATGTTCTTTACACAGTACATCATACTATATTATGTATACTCAGTAGTCAGTAATCAGTAAGTCTATGTCAGGATGTTAGGTAGATAGGTATCCATTATAATTATTAATTATTAAATCTTCTATGCTAATTGCTAATATAGTTAAAAACACACCTATTATGACTGACGTAGTCACGTAGATATGTGGACAGTAAGTACTAGTTACTTACAATTACATACAGTTACTTACAATTATAAGCAATATTAAATTTAAAAATTATATAATAATATATATAATATACAAATAATTATTATATATTTATGTTAATTTTACAATGCTCGTGAGAAACGTAAGTCGTAAATCGAAAGCACGTAATTATTTCGCATTTTTATCAGCTGGAAAACTGCTTGTTGTTGATATTGTTCTTATCTCATTACTATCAAACAAGCGTTTTCACCGTACATTTATTATTTACATGGTACGGCATGTTGGCACGTTTCTTCATATTATTTAGTGTTTGGGGTGCTAAACAGTTGACAAAACTCAACGTTAGTTTCAAGTAAATTATATAGTTAAATTTACAAGCTTCAACATGTCCACGGACGATGATGACGACGACGAATACATCATGCACGGGAAATTGTTGGATCCCATACACGAAGGTGAGTAACTAAAGTGTTATACTATTCATAGATGAATTTGAATAATTTTGTACTTTTAACTGTTCAAAGCAGTACTCTGATGAATAGTATGTGCTTAAAAGTAATATTACATTTTACTATATCAATAGTCTCAACTTACCTATCAATGCTAGTGGCTACATTTACCAATTATTTTTGTTTAACAAATCTACTAATGGGTAAACTTACCTCAATCCAAGTATTTTAAGATGAATATTTCTTTTTATATATGGCTGTTGTTATCAGGGCCGGTGAAAGCTATGGGCGACCTGGGCGACTGCCCAGGGCATCAGCACAGAAGGGGCACCAAACTGAAAATTATGTTTATTTAAATTATCTTTTAATAGGCATTAACAATCTGTACAATTTTAAATATTAATTATCTAATGTCGTTTTAATTGAAGATGCATCTGTAATTGTTTCATATTTGTATAATGTAAGAATAAAACAGTGTATCGATATTCGATACCTCTGGTTTTGATGTAAAAATAATACATAGAACTATGGATCATGGAAGCATACCACCGCATTTGTGTGGGTCAATAAAATGTATAGATGGTCGTAATAATTATTTTCATAATATATTCAGCGATTTATAAATAAATTTAAAAAACTAGACGATTACACCTAGATTTGTTAGAAAAACCGCTGCGGTAAAACCCATTCGAACCTTTCGGCAAAAATAACGCAGTCTAGCGTAAATCAAAAAGACACAATTATTTATTGTTTTCGAATTTATTGTTCTTAAATTTATGATACATACTAATTTTATTTAACTTATTATTAAAAAATTTAATTTTACTACTACTCAAACTAGGCGGGTGGGGGGCTTGTTAAGGGCGCCAAAACATGGTTTCGTCCAGGCCTCCAATACTTCTTGCGCCGGCCCTGGTTGTTATAGTAGTAATTTTCTATCAAACATTACTGTGTATATTACTAATATACAAGAAGTAGGTATGTCTTTTAATATGTGACGAGATGGATGTTATCATGTTGTTAGTTGTAGAATGCATACAAAAATAAGAATTGAATTTTCAATACGCATAAAACTATGTACTCAATATTAATTTGTTGTATAATTACCAGATATGATATTTAATTTCATCTAAATGAAAATCTATTCAATTTAGTATTGAGTAACTTTCTTGTGTTTAATATGAGTTTGTTTTAAATTAATTGCTTAATTTCAATGTCTTTGTAATCAGGCATTAAAACAAAGGAGGAATATTTTTAGGTGCACAACTCCACCCCAAAATGTTATAATTTATAAAGTTTTTTTATGTGGACAATCGACGGACGACCAATGTGGTTAGATAATGTTACAGTAAACACGACTACACAATCTTACATATTCATTATATTGTATTGTTTATTCTTGACTCCTGCCTCAAGTACATCATTTAAATAACTAAACAGATTTCAATTAAATTATTTTCTTTTAAATCATAGGTAGGAATTTTTAGTATAAAATATTGATAATATGATTAGTCATCCAAAAATATTGGTTTGATCATTCATTTTTTAATTTTTTTTGTTAGATGAGGTTGTTAAAAGAAAAGATGCAGAACAACAGTTTGTTAAAGACGAAAATGGGAGACGAAGATTTCATGGAGCATTTACAGGCGGTTTTTCTGCTGGATTTTATAATACTGTTGGTTCGTTAGAAGGATGGACACCGAGTACATTTAAATCATCAAGAGACTCAAAATCTACACTTAAGTCACAAAATGCTTATGATTTTATGGATGAAGAGGTATATTAATCTATTTTTGATCTCACCTTACATATGTTTTTAATATTATTTTATAATTCTTTATTATTAGGATAAAAAGGACTTGGGAATTGATGCATCAAGTTTAAAAATCAAAGCAGAATATAGTGATCATTCTTCAAGAAAACGTCAACTTCCTATAGTTAATACTGGCCCTATTCCTGGTAAACCCGTGCTTGGAGAAATTCTAAAACCAATTAAGTAAGTACTACTTTTTAAAATTAGTATCGTGTTTATAATTGGTATATTATATTAATTAATATTTGTATTATATTATTAAAGAGATACATGGGGTGTTGAATTACTGAAAAGTATGGGCTGGAAGCCAGGTCAAGGAGTTGGTCCTCAACTTACCCAACGGGAAAAATTGCGTGCTAAAAAAGAATTGGAAAATGTTGGGATGAAATTTAGCGTTAATACTAAGTATGATGATGACGATGATGATGAAGTAAATGAATTATTAGAGAACATTAAAGTTTCACCTTATGAATATGAATCTGTAGCCATTAAACCAAAGTTTGATACTTTTGGACTTGGTTATGAGGGTCTCAAGACAACTAATGTTTCAGTAAAATCTGAGAACAAGTACAGTAAGCTCACTGTTGGAGGAAAATCTATTCATGGACAAGTAATTATTATTTGCATTAACAAATTTCTAATGCTCAGGTTACTTTTTAAATATGTTGCCTAGTTTATTATTATATTGATTATACTACAAAATATAGAGTTTAATTATTAAGAAAACAATTAATTTTAAAGTACATTCTATTCTTTATAAAGTTTGAGAAAATCAATACAAATTAAAAGCGTTCGTGTCTGATAATAGTGTATTCTATTAGTTTGTTACATTTTTAATTTATACGGTTAAAAATATATTTTCATTTAAACTTAGGCTTTTGGAGTCGGTGCTTATGAAGATGACGATGATGATATTTATGCCGCTGAAGATATGTCAAATTATGATTTTAGTTTGGAAGAAAAGTCTCAAAAATCAAAAAATAAATCAAAAACTAACAACTTGAATTCTGAATGTATTGACGGTTTTGTTGAAGATGAAAGTAAACATGGGTTGTTTGAAGATCTTCCGCCTCCTATACAAATTCCTCCTGGTAATCTATTTTTATTACTTTCTTCTCAAATTTTTGAATTTTTCAAAACTATAAATTCATTTTTTTCAGAATGGCGTCCCCATGGAATGTTTGATCGAATAGTAGGACAATGTCCTCCTGATTTTTTCAGTCAATCATTTAATCCTACAAATGTTTCTTATACCAATGTGAATACTAGACAACGAGAAATGAAAAAACCCGAACCACCTCCATCCGTTGAAGAATTTATTAAAAAAGGTAATTTATAAGATCCATTTTCTAGAATTTAAAATATCAAATGAGTAATACTATAATTTTGTATAGAAGTTCCTAGTTTATTATCAGATATAATATCTGATCGATTTACAAGAGCAGAATTACCGGATGATTCTACCAATGCTTTAATACCAGTTATTCGTACTACTGATCCAACATTAGAAAGACTCAAAAACTATGCCAGCAAACAAATGTATGGTTTTTGGACTCGTAAAACTGAACCCTGGGTTCCTGAAAAACTACTTTGCAAAAGATTTAATATTCCTGTGCCAAAACAGTCTATGTAATATTTATTCATTGTGTAGTTGAATTTATAAAACAATACTAAAAAATGTGTTCTTATAGGGTAAATTATACAGAAGATGGTAAGAAGCATGGAGAGTGCAGTCTCTTTAATTCTCTAGAATTTTCTACAAATGAACCTATATCAACGTATGAAACTAAAATTCCAAATAATTTACCATTGGCTATAAATAATGTTAAATCAGTTAACGATACATCATTAAGTCTAAAAGAAATTGTTACGGTATGTTCAAATTTTGTTTTATTATTTATTTTTAACAACATATACCTAACAATAATTTGTATTCACCAATATTACGCTCATTTTAAATCCCCAAGTAATATTTTTAAACATTCATAATATTCCGAGAGAAAATTTTTTTAATTGAATAGATCTGAAATATAATTTTTTAGTAATCGGAGAATGAAAATGTTTTTTTCTGTTATTGCTAATATAATTAGAATATTGATAATTAAGTTGTTCGCTTTTTTCAATAAAAACAATCTAAAACCTATAGAATTTACTTAAGTTGTATAGTTACAACTTAATTGGTTTATTTTTGTATTCTAAAAGCCTGCTTAAAGTGGTTTCTTACGTAGGTGCTTTAGGTAAAGCAAGTTCTGCATATTAATACAACTGCTTAATTAATGTGCCAATATTTATATTGATTTAACTTAATATTAATTAAATAATTAAATATAATAATGGTAAATACTAAACATCTATATTTAATCATAACTTTTTACTTTTTTTGTTCTACTGAAACTAATATAATTGTTTATTACTTGACTAATATTTAAGTCTCAATAATTAAAAAACTGCTCCCCAAAATGCAATGTTTCAATATTATTTTTTTTTCAGGAAAAAGTTAATGATGTAGTAGAATGTCCAAAACCAAGTGTTGACTTTTTCAAAGATATATTTTTGGATGATAGTGATGATGAAACTTTAACTGTTCAAAATTCATCAAAAAGTGAAGAAGTATCTACAAATTCTAATGAAAAACAATTACATTCCGCCAACATTTCCATCAAAAAAGAAAATATGGTAGAATCTAATGTCCAGAGTTCCACAACGTTCAATCTGTTTCCTCCCAAAGGAATTTTTGCTAATCTTAATTTTGGTGATTTATTTGATACACCAAATAAAACTAATGAAATTGGAAATGAAAGCAAAAATGCACACAGCAGTAAAAATCACACTTTTGATATAAATAAATCATATGGTCCACTCTTGCCAGATCAAAATGACTTAAATTCAAGTTTGGTCAAAACTAAGTGTATTGAAAATTTGTTTATTGAAGATGATTGGGTGGAAAAAACAGGATCTCCCAATAATTCTTCAAATAGTAAAAATAAACACAGTAAACATAAGAAACACAAACATAAACATAAGTCAAAGAAGAAATCTCATAAGCATAAATGATTATCTGATGTTTAATTTTTAACTTGAATTTTATTACAATTAATTCGGATTGGTCCTGTTTCTATTTTTTAATGTCCACTTGTGTTATTACATTATGTAATACAAATTGTAATTCATAGTATTATCACACTACATTGATATTCATTAGAATTTATTTTAATTTTGACAATCGTCTTAATTATTGTGATATGCCTGTATTAAGTTATTACACCATTTAGAATGTTTTACAATTATTTTTGTGGAATGAGTTTAATATAATATATTATGTATAGTACACAGTATTGTATTTATAATTTAACCATAACAGATTATAAAACATGTAACATCATTCATTTTTAATTATAAATGTATAAAATTACTAATCAGAGGACATGTATCCTGCTGTTTACCTCCACAACAACTACAGATAAATAATTAATATGATGATTATTTCAAATGTAAGCTTACCATTGGTGTTCATTCTAACAACCTGAAATTGTGATAACTATTCGCATGAAAGTTAAGGTTTGTAGGTGGGGCAAGTGGTTCTTAATTGAACTTTGGGCATTCAGAAATGTTTTAAGAATATTCTAAGCTCTACTTCTATAAATAAAATATATTATCATTATATTATTTAAAGGGGCAACAAATTATTATTTTAGCAATTATACTTTATATTGAACTATTCATTAAAGTGTAAAAACCATACTTAAAATGTTCTCCTTTTTATTACTATAATAATAATGATTATTATTAGATATACAGTGTGATCATGATTTAAGGTATCACTAAATATTTAGGCCGGATGAACTTGTATTGAAATTAATTTTGGGAGAAACATAGGGGGTACTGAAATATTTGGTGAAATTCTCATTTTTAACACTTATGGTGTGTGCATGCGCAGTTAAAAATGTAATTTTTTAATAGTAACACCTATTTTTAGCACGTGGCTTGGATTGACTGAATTTTTCCAGGTTAGTTTTACTTTTAATACTTGACTCAAAGTTCAAAATTGAATGAATGACAGCCATTATTCAATTTTGAAAAAAAAAGTTTAATTTACCTGTGTAATTTATTAATTTTAGGTTCATGAGTACAATTTTATTTTTTTTCATTAAATTTTATAATTATTATGAATATAATTATTATTATTGTTATTATTAAGAGTAGTAATAGAAATAGTACTGAATATTGTTATTATTTCTATTAACGCAATAAAATAAACACCAACATTAAAAAAATATAATTACCTAATATTTAAATGTTTAACATTTTTATTCATGATTTGATCACCACAAATTAATTTTAAAAACTAAAAACTGTTGTCCTAAAGGAGGTAAAGATTTTTGCATAGAAATTATAACATTTAATGAAAAAAAATAAAATTACATACATGAACCTAAAGTTAGTAAACACAGGTTATTTAAATTTTTTTTAAAAATTGCTTAATGGCTATCATTCATTCAATTTTGAACTTAGAGCCAAGTATTATGAGTAAAATTGACTTGAAAAAATTGGGTCAATCCAATTTATGTGCTACAAATAGGTGTTACCATTAAAAAAATACATTTTATATTACTCATATGTGCACACCATAAGTGTTAAAAATTTAAAAATTTCATCAAATATGTATTTGAGTACAACCTATGTTCCCCACAAAATTAAGTTCATCCAGCTGAAATATTTAGTGTTACCTTAAATCATGATCACACTGTATATATTAGAAGAAGTCTAACCAAATCACAGATAGGTAAGTTAGATCATAGACCTTATACTACTAGACAAGTAATGTGTAACAGAATTATTGGTGCGATAAAGCATTTTGTACTATCTCAGTGATGTAGGCTGTCTTGAGTTCTTAAAAGGACGCTACACTAGCATTTGTTGTCTCCGTCTTACAAGTGTATTACATAGAAAATGCTGGGCTCAGCAGAACACGTTTAGCTCTATTAGCTTACTAATAAGAGTGAATTAACCTCTTACAAAATTTAAAGGTAAGATTATTATCTAGAGCATTTCAGAGACTTTTTATTATATTTTAATTTAAAAGAGAGTTATGAGTAGGGCAGTGGTACCTCTAAAAAATCACCAAATATGCACTAAAATGCACAAAATATGCTTTTTAAAATTATTATGCATATTATAATGCATTAAAAAATAAGATTATTTGTATGAATATATATTTTATTTAAGTATTTTGATGTCTGCAACTGACGTCCCCGTGGCCCCTATTGATAATATCTTAATCTTATGCAGTGAATAATATCCGTACATAAATAAAATTAATCTTATCGCCAATCCTCTAGACTTGTCTAGGAAAAACATGCGTGTGGGAACTATCAATACTTAACAACCATATTAGTATGATCAAAATTTTAAATAATTTTAAATTCAACATTATTTTGGACTTAGGTTATATATTAAATATTTAAATTAGATAAAAACGTCTACGATAAAAATATTGATACAATGATAAAATATTGAAAATATGCATCTTAACGTATAGAATCGAAGAAATATGAACTAAAACTAAAACCAAAAAAAAACTTGAAATATGCATTTATATGCAAAGTAAAATTTCAAAACTAGATTTGGTTCGGCATGAAACGTATTCGTTTCTTACTCAGCTATTTTGTGATCGTGCAAAACAAAAATGCTATATAGTATGCTACAAGTAATCTGCCTTGGTTATGAGTATTTTAAGATGAACAAACAATTTTGTCTTGACGACAAAATACAATAATCGATATATCTCATATATATGTTACCGACTAGGTACCGTATTACTATTACCAATATTACCTCACACTACTCCATAACTCAGTACTCAACCGAAATTCGCCCTCTATCTTTTTGCTGCTTTCCAAACACCTATTGACTATTACTTGTCTAGTACTAAGTTCTATGGAGTTACGATTGTTTTTCCTAAATGATTCGTCCGACGTTGCAGTGACGTTGCAGTGACGTTATGGAAATCATGCGGAGGTCGATCAGAAACACATGTAACAGGAGTGTATGCTGTGATCGTGATAGCCGCCGAACTAGTGGCTAAAGTTGCCGCCGCGGTCGCAATCAATATATTGCACCAACGACGCCGCCGCCGCCGCCGCTAAAGAGATCGAAAAACTGTAGCGACTAGTGCGTAAAACCCTGGTACACGGGAGTCCATAATTTATATCCAGTATTCCTTTAAACAAGCAGTACCTCTACCTAGGAATCAAAATGTTGGGAAAATTAGTCTTTTGATTTCTTTGTTTTCATCTTGAAATCATTGTTTTTACTTTTTACTCACCTTTTCTGTATATGCTATTCTTAGACATCTTTTATTTTAAAGTTTTTTTTGTACTTTGTCAATTATTTTCACTTGTTTTGGTTTTTAAGGAGATACTTAATTTTTATTATACTGCATTTTTATCTTACGCAATCTTATATTAGAAGAAAAATGAACTTTAAAAAAGGCAGTATCTACATAAAGAAATATACATTCAGCCTCCAGTATCTGATTGTAATAATTTATAACAAAAATAATAACAGCACCGAGGTTACATATTATGTGGTTAAATAATGGTTTTAGTTATTACCACGAATTAAGATACCAATGTTACATCATTTTCTATACATCAATGTGTTTGTACTCAATTCATTTACGAACACTTGAAATTTGAAATTTTAGATTCTAAGCGGAGCAATGAATCTATTGATTTTACAATGATGTCGATGTGTGTTTATTTGTTTTGGTTTTTGTTGTTTCTCTAATAATTTTCCATCTACTCACTGCCTGTATTAATATTATATAATAGAATATTTGTAATAATTTTAATTTATTCCGTGATAAAGAATAATTATTATTTATTACTACACAGTACATACTAATATTATAATTAAAAACAGGACTTGAAATCGTTTCTATTCTATCGATAACATATTTTGTTAAAAGTAATTTAATCTAATAAATTATAAGTATTTTCAAAATTGAATTGTTTTCTCATATTATTATTTATGTTCAACATTTATATTGAAATCGATAATTCATACCGAAATATAATCGTTCTATAATAAATTTGGGTATTATACAAATCAATTTAAAATTTGAAATTCAACAATAGCCTACATTCAATATTGTATTGTTTATAAGTAGGTAATCAGAAATAAATAATATTTTGTTTTCTTCAGTACGATCCTATTCTAATTCATTGGTATTATATAAGTATGCGAACTGCGTACAAGGTAGTTCCCGCATTTGCAAACATTGAACGCGAGTCGCAACACCGAATTTGACTCACAGCAGTGATAAGACAAGTTCTTTATAATTTAATGCTAAGTATGCAATTTGATAATTTTTATGAACTTAATACAAAACTATACTATACTCACTGACATGCGTAATCCGCGTAACTACTATCTATTGTAAATCGGGACATAGGGCTTTAAGTTAAGGGAATTTGGGATTGAACTTTTGACATTTTTTGATAACAAAATAAGGTATAGAGACATGATATTTTGTTCATTTGTTGTCAATGTGTGAGATACTAAGGTGGGTATTGCCCTGTTACCATAATATTTTCATAATTTTTATAAATCTTTAAGTATGTAGTAAGAGGTAAATAGGTAACTGATGGATATATTTGTTATTTGCTTAATATCATAATGATTAGATATTTTTTTTTATAAATAATTTAATAATATTTATTATTATTAATATTATAAAAAAGTTTATTTTATATTATTATATGTTTCTCTTATTTTCCTATCATATTTTGAGTACTTGTTTTCGTAAATAATTATATTTTTACTTTAAAAGAACAAAAACAAACTGTTCGGCAGTTCGGCTCAGTTGGAGTACATCACTGTTTTCAAAAGTAACCAAAAAAAAGAAAAGCCGCGAAATGGTTTGACTCATTTGGTGATATGATGAGCGTTTTAAACGTTATTATTTGGCTAAAAATCAGAATATTAGTAACAGGAACACATGCAGCTGTGGTAACTTTCGAATGGGTTGACGCCGTCAACGTTAAAACCGAAGAATGAGTAGCGCAAGTCCAAGCGGCCCTGGTACCACGGAGTCAGTTTCGACTTCATTTCGACGAAATTTATACCACTGAATCGTGATCGAATTCCGTCAATGAAAATTGTCTAAGTGGTGCCGAACAATATTTTAAAATGAGGCGGGCAAGTAAAAAGTTATACAAACCACCACACCCGTTTACAAAACAAACTCTTGGGAGGCTCCCCCCCCCCCATACAACATTCTAAAATATTCCATACGACCGTGCATTCAAGACCAATATTTAAACTCCTATTAATTATACACTGTTCTTTGACGTGCCTTGACCAATTTGTATTATTCCTGGTATCGCTTTTTCAACTGCAACCGCCCACACTTTTTTTGAATTATGGATCAAACTAATTTAAATTACAATTTTTTAACAGCAATATTTAGTGGCGCAAGTGTCTAATTAGCCCAACGTTTTGAGGCGGCTGAAGCCCTGAATACATTTTCCTAAAAAGTAACCGGATAGGGCATTGTCCCCCTCCTCTATTCATTGGACATTGCTATTTATATTACAAACAATTATTATTTTTACTCTAGTTTGATTTTTAAATTTTTAATATATTATTTGTTATTACTGATGAAAGTATTCACAATTAGTTGAATGTTTTACTTAACAAATATAAAGTCAGATTATGAAATGTACCTATGTACCTATTTACTAAGTTTTTAAAAAGGTTTATATTTTATAGGTACCTAGTACGAGCAGTACCTACTACCTACATTCTACATAGAAGTTTCAACTTTGAATGAATATGGGCTGTAATTCGAGATATCCGCAATGAAATACTCAAATACGTCAATATAAAACTTGACAAAAAAATATTAAATACACTTAGATACAACAGAACTTCAAGCAAATAGAAATTACAAAATGTCTCATATCTTATGAACAGAGTTCGGAGTGAAGCAAAAAAGTACTAAAAATCCCAAAAAAAACACAAAAAATGTATACTAGGTAAAAGGTGCATATTAAAATTGCTTTATTACTTATTATTTAATATATGCGGATATAAATATAGCTATTACGCCTATAACATGTTACAGCTTTACATTCTTTACATTCTAAATCATAGACATATTAGTATATATATATATATATATATATATATATACAGGGTACGGCGTAATGGACTCCCATATTTCAAATAATCATTAGCACGTAATCAAACTGATTAGACTAATGAGGTTTATTTCTCTTGATTATGTTAGTAATAAGGTTTTTAGTCGTCACCATACCGTAGTTCGGTGAACAACGTGGTTTCGTTATCTATGCATTTTTTAAAAACGCCGAATATGTGACTGCGACACAGACAACATTTCGGCATTTCGCACTCGGTTCGGTTTGAATCCAAACGAAATTGTTCCTGATCGGAAAAGATTTTTAATTTGGTATGAAACTTAAAATCCACCTAGAACAATTGAAGAACTAAATGAGGATATTCGTCAAGAAATTTAGTAAATTCCATTCCATATACTGACAAGAGTGATGGAAAACTTTCGAGAACTGCTCCATATGTGCGTCGGTCGTCAAGGCGATCATTTAAAATCATTTAAAATCATCCTTAAAAAATAATTTGAAAAAAACCTAATATAATAAAGTTTTTAAAATAAAATGTTTTTTTCTATATCTTAAATGGTTTTTTTTAAATTCACCTCAGAAATGTGGGTGTCCATTATGCCACACCCTGTATATATGATCCAAATTCAAATTACATACACAAAAATAGAATACAAATAAAAATTTGCATGAAAAATAAATGTGATACATATTTAAAATTCAATGACGACAGTTAGTTGACGGCAATGACGAATCATTGGACTGGGCCATCGGGAAATCGTGAAATTCCCGATGGACCAAGTACCTACTAACTATAGTCTATGGGCCGACGGGGCTGCAGCGTACTCTACCGAACTCAACGACTATAGCCCGTTGCAACCTAACAGAAATTATGTAGAGACGGGTTTTTTTTCGTGTCAGTATTTCGTATTTTTATCTCATAATTATTTGTCATTATTCTATTTTTATATTTTTCACTAATCGAATAATTACATTTTACCTTATACCTATTGTTATTATTTTGTTGCAATTCAAAAACTAATAATCGTAGATACTTGAATTTACACTAAAAGTTTATTTTATCTTTTTCTATACTTGAAAAATTTATCGTATTGAAAACATAGAAATTATTTTGTAGTTAGAAATGTATAAAATGTTCAATTTTTATAACTAAAATAATATTTAATAATTTAATATTATATATATATAGACATATATTAAATCAAGGTTCCACTTAAGAGGACGCTACACTAACATATTATGTTGTCTCCGTCTTATAAGTGCATACCTATGCCATACAACATTTTACGCACAACAGATCAGGTTTAACTCTGTTGGTTTAAAAATTAGAGTGAATTGACCTCTTTAAAGATGAGATTATAATCTAGGCTTATCATAAGTTTTTATTATATTTACATTTAAAAACGAGTTATTTGTAGTTTAAGATGTACAAACAATTTACAAATTTTTAATATTCATAACTTATTGTTCAAATTTTTAAACAATCAGAGCTAAACGTGATCTGCTGATCTTAAAATTTGCTATATTACGTACAAATGTAGTTTTTTTAAATAGTTATTATTTTAAATACAAATTTGGACAAAATTACATATAAAAACCAAAAATAACAATTTTAGTTATTCGGTTTTAATTGAATAATATTATTCGTCTGTACTTGAAATTTTTAGAGTAGGTATATCAATATATTATTATATTTTATACACACAATGACATTTTCAAATTCAATTTTTTTTTTTTACTATTAAATACTAATACTTAAATAATAGTAAAATAAATTACTTACGATTTATGACAAAACTAAATGTAGACATCCACAATGAAAAGCAATAGAAACACATGTCCAAAAAATGTATTATTTAAAAATATATAGAGACCCACTAAAAATATGATCTCGACCCACTGTTTAGGAACCTCTGCTCTAGTCTCCTAAGTACAGCAGACCGTTATCCATATTACCCTTTATTTTTTCTATCATCAAAATTTGGTTGATAAAAATGCTCCGATGTTCGAAATCAGCATCTTTAATATTATAGAAAAATGAATCTAGTACTAACTTGTGCATTCGGGAGGCCAAAATTGAAAATTGTTAGTAATTTTTGAAAGTGTTGGGTAAAACAAAAAAACAAAAATGAAGAGAAAATGATAATTTTTAAGCAAAACCAAATTTAAAAATTGATATTATTTTTTTTCTGGTGTAACTAATATATCATAATTATAAACCAGATGCTTGAAATTTTCAAAAAATATTTATACTAGTATTTTCTATGCATGGTAACATTTTTGAAATATTTTGTCATTTTTTGAGAATATTTTTTTAACGTGTTCGCTCTGAATTAATTTTTCGTATACAATGGCCTATAAATTATCTTTGAATTCAAATTTAACAAATCCTGAGAATGACATATTCGAACTGTACAGCAGATATATTTGATCACTTTTTAACTTTGTTGTTTGCACTTCCGCACCTTGACAAAGGACAATCATAATAAAATATGGCAATTATAAAACTAAGAAAGAAAATAAGCAATATATTTAACATAATATTATAATTTAAAACATTTTTGTCGTTGGTGGGTGTGGGGGGGGGGGGGTGTAGGTCAGGGTTTTAATTTTGGTGAACAAATTATTTTGACTTCTCTACATTTGTATCCACATAAACAAAAACGTAAGACTGTAAATTATATAAAATAATTACAAACTACAAAGACTAAATTAAATTATTAAAATGTCATTAATATTTTAGAAAGGGTATCGTCTAGATTTTTAGGTAACGTCGAGTAATCCTAAACATACGTAGGTTTTGAGGGGAAGTAATGCTAACGCGGTCCCCCCTCTGGTCCTCGATACCACACAAAAAAAAAAAACATATGTAGGTAATAACTATTATCGGTCTAACGTTAATTAATTAGGTATAATTGTTTTTAAAAATTACAAATCCATTTAAAGCGATTTTTTGTAAAATGGAGCCCGGATCAAAATAGTCCTGTTGCTCTTCCTTCTCTGAAAGATTAAATACCAAAACATTTAAGCAAATAAAAATAAAGAAATAATAATCTGTCGGTTACACAGCGGTTACAAAAACACAGAATAATTATTTATTATGACTATTTATTGTGTGACAAAATTATTATATTATTAGGGCCCTATAACAGTGCCTTAATATTACTAATTAAACTAATGAATTACGTATACTATTGTATTTGTATATGTGGCCATTGTAGTCAACAACGGAACTAATTAATGTTAATGAATAATATGTGAAGTGGAATTTACCTATTGGCTATTACCTATTATTCACACCCACTGTATTGACAAAAAAAATATTAAATTAAAATTAAAAATATAAAAATAATGTTTAGTTTATACTTTTATAATTATACCTATTATCTACCTAGTATGTTTTATTTACCTATTTCTACCTACATACATATTATTACATTCAATATAATTATTAATTTTGTGCACGACTAATAATAATAATGTGACGTGTGATTCGTGCGATTATCGATTTGGCATTTTGGCCGCCGACAAAATGTCACGGCCATTGATTCGACCATTTGTCGCTGGTGTTGATGCGCTTGCGTGTATAGCGTAAATGGAGACGTAAATTCTATGGGCGGCCGTACAGTAATAATTGTGCTCGACGTGCCGTCGTCCTGCGCTGTGCGTGTGATAACAACAACCGACCTTATCAATTTTTTTCGGACAACGTTGCGTTTCCAGAGGAATTCCTTAGCATCCACGCACTGGGGCCGGCACTCGCGCTTGTTACGCAGTTTTCTGCGACTTCTTCTGATCGTTTGTCGTAAGCCGTTTGGAAATGAATTCTGCGTCGATCGTATGGTTCTTGGGACTCTGTTCCACTTACGTTTCGGCATTCTATTTGCCTGGCTTGGCGCCCGTAAACTATTGCAAGGAATCAGCTACGTCATGCACGGTAAATATTTTTCCCTATCACCATTGATCCACCGGGGGCGAGCACACAATTGACTACCACCCCCTTCAATCACCAATCAGTTTCTGTTAAACTATTTATGTTCAGCCAAATATCGGTAGACTTCCAGCTCGTTGCGATAGATTTTCCTACCCTAGACTCATAAGAAAAATGGACATGATTCAAACTACAGCATTATTTAAATGCATGTTAAGTCCCCCTTAGCTATTATGATATTTAACAAATGTACGAGATTAAATCTTTTCCAATAATGTGTACTGAGTACACGGTCCTTGGTCAACCAGTATATTTTATTATGCACTGTTGTAACAGTGACCACTCAGGTGGTATACCTCTGTAATCAGTATTAGTATGAATTTATTTTTAATCTACCATGTATAAGATACTACAATATTATCCACATACTATCGACATTATTTTTGAGCTAACATTTCCGATTTAAATTGTAAATAATCTATATTATTCGTTAAATTAGTTATATTGAACTATGTGACTACCTATATTATTCATATGTTATCATGTGTGAAATTCTATTTACCAACATTTTATATCTTTATTCCTTGGACATTCCTAAGTCTTGAGTGTTTAAATAAAATAACTAAAAGGAATAAATGGCATAATTCTAGTTAAGTTCCCATACAATTTTTCAATTTTTATAATTCCTTATAGTTTTTGATGAAAAAAGTTATGGTACTATCAGTATTTGTCAATCGGACTTAGTTTTGAAGTTTAGTGAATTAAAGTATTAAAATATATTATTAAACCAGTAGGTAACGCAGGCTACAAAAATATTGTCATCTATTCATGTTTAAAAATTAGGTATTATATTTTAGGTACACAGGATTTTTTTTTTTATATTGTCATTGTATTCTTATATAAATATTTGTTATGTATTTGTTTTAGAATAAGATTGAGTTCTTCGTAAATCGACTCAATTCTGATGAATCAGTGATACCATACGAATACCATTAGTAAGTCAATGAACATTGTTATTTGTTAAAAATTTAAATATTTTTATTTTTACTAAAATTATTAAAACCTTTTCTTTTAATGGTTTATCATTATATGTATATAAATTATTAATGAATTCCTACAATATTGTCAAAACAAATTGTGAGCCACTGCCTTATTATTACCTATCTATTTAAAATAAAATATTTATCTGAGAAATTGATGAATATTTGAATATTTTAGAATCTATTGAGCTTAAACATATTCAACGTCTCCAACTTATTAATATGTCATGTCCAGTTTTCCTGTAGAGCTACTGGTTTTATGCAACCGACACGCTTACAATAAAAAGCATCTAAAAATAACCGATATTAAAACCTAACATGCAATTTTGATTTTTATATTTATTATTTTATTCACAATAGTATCCTTAAATTTGAAAGATTTATAATATAAGCCACATTTATAGAATAACATTGAAATATAATACGGATAAATAATACTTAAAATTGTCAGTGGCCTGACGAACAAGAATTGTTGTGAATTTAGATGCATAAATGCCATACCTACATAAAGTAAAAACTAACAAGGACGTTTAAATGTATAATCTCATCACCGGTGTTGAATTACTTACGCCTGTGATAAGGCATACAATATGTTAGTTAAAATATTAACTAAGTATATTAAAATACTAATCTAAATTTAAATCCAATCTTACAATTATTAACCTAGTTATTAATCATTTTTATTAGTTTGTCTTCAAAAAAATTACTAATCTTGAAATAGATAGATCTAGTAAGTCTGGTAAAATAATTAAACTATCAGTATGAAACAATTATTATAATTTAACAGTTAGTTACTAATTAATTAAATTTATTGTGAGTTATGACCTTTATTTGTGATTAATAACTTGCTTAAGATTTTAAATTAAACTATTTCTATGGACATTTTATTAAAAAATAATTTAGTAAATTATCTACTATGTCATTATATGTTTTTATATAAATTTCAAAAAATATATTCTCATAAAGCTATCATACCTACATAACATATTAAACTATCATTAGCAATAGATATATTTTTATACAATTAATTTTGTGTACATTTTTGTACTGCGATTTATTTAAAAATCCAAATCTATTTTTTTCAGGTCTTTATAATATTATACCATGATAGCTATCTTAAGGTCAATATTTGTTGACCTGATAAAATATATACTACAAATTTTCATTCAATAATATGCCAACTGTATTCAAAAGTTTTATAACTACTAACACAGCCTATTAAAATTACAGTTAAACAACATATAAAAAAGTTATTTGCATTACTGATAAATATTATAGCATATTTTGTTGTAACAAAAGTATTTTATACATATTACATATTATTAAAGTTATAAATTATGATTTCATAGTGTGTTATTTTGAAGTCATACACTATTATTTATCATGTTTTATTTTTGTTATTTTTATGTTGACAAATATTGATTTAGTTAATTTTAATGTAAACAACTTTTTATGCAAATAAAACAGAATTAAAAGTATGATGCATGCATTCATCTCTGCAGTAACATCAAAAATTTCAATTGTTAGATTAGATAACTTATTATTATTAAAAAAACTTTGAATTTTTACTTTAAGTTTTTAAACAAACAACTTAAGTAATAACTTTATAATTTATAAGTTTTATAATTTAAATCACTAAAAATATTTAAGATTTTAAGTTTCAAATAACTACTACCTGTTAATTTTAATATTTTTAATATTAATTTTATAATACTTTTTCAATAATTTGTCAAAGTAAAAACTACCTTTTTTCATTTTTATTAACATATCCTACCAGTCGATAGTTTTAAAAACAACTGTGCAATGTGCGTATAAATAACTTTTGTTTCTCATTTTTATATTTTGTATTAATTATAATATTTTTTGTATTCATGAATATCTTATCAGAAGTTACCTCTTTCATATAAAATATATTGCATTTTCTCACTAAATATTTTGAAACAAAAATCAGAATTTTAAGAGCAAGATAGGCTGAAAAGTCAGATTTATAAATAGCATGCAGCATTACAGCTCTGCATTAAATGATTCGTAAAAAGACAAGTACCAATAAGTGACAATAGAAAACAATACAAAAATTAATAGAATAATTTTGAATTCTGTTGTTGATTTCTATTAAATGTTACATAGAATAAGTTATTTTATTTTAGTTTTAATAATTGTAATGATTTTTTAAATTTATTTTTAGCTTTGACTTTTGTACAACCGATGAAAGTAAATCTCCAACTGAAAATCTTGGGCAAGTTTTATTTGGTGAAAGAATTAGACCTTCTGGATACAATGTAAGTTTTTAAATTATCATTTTATAATATTAATTGCTTAATAATTTATTATATTCTATTGAATATAAGGAAATTGATTTAATATATATAGTATGTGTGTAAAACTGATCTTCATTGTCTCAAATTCTGATGAAAATGATTTGTGAGTTTATGAAAATCATTATTACATAAATGTTATACAGTATAAAGAGGACTTCTTTTAGTTATCAATGTTTGAGTTATCAATATTATATTACAGTATATTGCATACTGATTCCCTACCATAAGGCATAAACAGTATTAGGTATATAAGTAATTGATCACAGATTCAGAGTACCATCCACAATAGTTTTTTAAATACAAAATATAATTTATCTTTTAATTTTTTATTAATCTGTTCTGTTGGTTTTAGATATTATCAGAACTTAGAACTATAATTGTCATACTGTGGTTTAGTTACATATTTTTTTACTTCAGTCATACCAAAGTACGACTGGACGTGCAATTTTAAAATTATTATGCACATAACATAATTCGATTAAAATAAATCCCATGTAATTTTATCTAGTTGTAACAAATTTGTAACAACTGTTCTAATTTTTCTTCATGTTTATCCAACAAGTCAAAAAGATATTATTATTAAAATTGGTCAATGATGGATGGAGTTTTGTATATGGATTGAAATATGGAAAATATTATTAATTTTAAACAGAAATTTGATATTAAAAAAATGTTTTTATAAATGGTAGTAAAACTACTATTGGTCTTAATGTGGGGTTGCTTGTATATATTTTGTTTCTTTATTATTTTATTAATATATTCAATATTTTATTGAGATCGATAATAGTTCTTTTGTACCATCAATGATATAAATAAATTGTGTTTCATAAAAAATAATTAATTATTTTACTAATAATATTTAAAAATATGGACTTATACATATTTTATTAATTTATCCACAGGTATCATTTTTAAACAATGAGGATTGTAAAGTACTTTGTACTAAACGTTATATCCCTAATGACTCAATTAGTAACATGAAGCTATTTGTACTTAAGCGAGGAATGAGTTTAAATTATCAACATCATTTTATCGTCGGTAGGTGTAATTTTACTCGTTTTATATAAGGTGGTAAAACTAAATTATTAATATTTACTTATGTACCTACCAAAATTTCAAATCTTTAATTCTTCTAACTTTTCTATGATAATACAAATTACACTAAAATAATTATTTTGTCTTATGAAATTAATTATATTATTATATTATAATTTTTTTTTATTAACATTTTAGATAATATGCCAGTCACTTGGTGTTATGATTTAGAAGATGGCCAGCAGTATTGTAGTACAGGATTTCCAATGGGTTGTTATAAACCAGCCAACCATGATAATAATTTATGTGCAACTATTCTGAGAGTAAGACCTATAATAAACTAAATAATTACTATTAATAAATATTTTCAAAGTAAATTATAAATAGTTTCTTAGTTTCACAATTCTTTAATTGAGTTTGGTTAACATGTTATTGTGTACTGTTAATACAATTTTTATTGTTACAGGTTGTTCCGCAAGCACTAAAGCCAAATACTTATTATATTTTTAATCATTTAGAATTTACTATTACTTATCACAGTGGAAAGCATGAAGAATGGGGATCATCATTCAGTTCAGAAGGGGGCAGAATCATTGGTGTGTCAACAATTATTTTAAGATTATTATATGCATATTTTATCCAATGGTTTCATTTAGATCATATATAAATATCTTTTTACCCAATAATCTAATTATTTTATTCTCATATACTATGCGCGGTTAAATGAAATCAAAAAATATTTTAACATAAAGTTATTATATGACTTAAATAAATCCTTTTGATTGGAGCATATTAAATATCTATATTAATGTATTAATCAGTATTTATTTATGTTTTAAAGCTGTTAAAGTGAGACCAAAGAGTATACAACATAAATTTCCAGTCACTAGTTGTAATACAGGATTCATGGAAATCCCAGCTGATAAAATAAATACTCCATTGAATATAACATATTCCTATTCTATTCAATTTGAGGTTAGTATGAAGTATCAATTGTATACTTAATATTTATTCAAGAAATATATTACCATTCAAACTAATTGCTCAAATTCAAAAAATTTATATTTTAGTCAAGATAACAAATATATTTCTTTAAATTGTCCTATGTTTTATTATTTTAAGTTAAATTTTGAATTTCATTAAATTATAGATGAACAATACTGTTAAATGGTCTTCACGCTGGGATTATATTTTGGACTCTGTGCCACCTACCAATATTCAATGGTTCAGCATCCTAAATTCTTTAATGATAGTAATTTTCTTATCTGGGATGGTAGCAATGATTATTCTGCGTACATTGCATAAAGATATTGCTAGATATAATCAGGTAAAGTCAAATTTGATCATGTTAAATCCTTATACTAAATTCACCATTATTGGTTATCACTAGGATGTTTACAACCTACATTTTGGATTGCAGATTGTATATAATTTAATATACAATATAATTTGAATTAAATGTGCTCAATATTAATTTATACTGAATTCCTTTAGATTGATGCTGGTGACGATATTAAGGAAGAGTTTGGTTGGAAACTAGTTCATGGGGATGTTTTTCGTCCTCCAAGAAGAGGAATGTTGCTTGCAGTTTTTGTTGGCTCTGGAGTACAAGTTTTGTGCATGACTGTTGTAACTCTAGGTAATATACAATTTAATTGTAATTTTTGTTTCTCCTTTTAAAAATTGTATTATTATGATGGTGTTTCAGCATTTGCTTGTTTGGGTTTTCTATCTCCAGCAAATCGAGGTTCACTTATGACTTGTTCTTTAATATTATTTGTATGCCTTGGGACACCTGCTGGTTATGTATCATCAAGAATTTATAAGAGTTTTGGTGGTGAGAAGTGGAAGACCAATATAATACTGACTTCAATGTTTTGTCCTGGGTAAGATTAAAAATAATACAAAACTACACATAACTTGGATGTCTATTGAAAACCAGTTGAATTAAATTATGTTAATAAGAAATAAGAATCCATGTTTAGTATTTAAATTAGTCGATATTGTAGTATTACTTTTATTATCATGTTAATATTTGTCACTTTTAATTTAAGTGTGTATTATTTTAAATAACTAACCTTTTAATTTTAGCCTTCTGGTTATTAGTTGAATTATATTTTGTATCTGTGTTCAATTTTGACACACGGACAATATACGCAGTATAATTAACATTTTTCTGTTGAAAATTGAAAGAAAAATGCTGAAGCTTATGCAAAACTTGTTATGTTATCTATAGTTTGAGGGTTTGGGAGTTAATTAAATAAAGAAATTTACTGCTTTATTATAATTGTATATTTTTTTTTTCTTATAGAGTGGTCTTCTGTTTATTTTTCATAATGAATTTGGTTTTATGGGCCAAAGAAAGTTCTGCTGCCATACCATTTTCTACATTATTTGTTTTGTTGGTTTTATGGTTTTGTGTATCTGTACCACTTACATTTGTTGGTGCATTATTTGGCTTCCGTAAACGAGTGAGTATTTTTTCATGTAATTTGATATATATAGATCTTATGAATAAACAGTACATCACACATATACTTATATCAAAAAAATAAAAATATGATAAAATTGAAAATGTATACACATTTAAACAGGGATGGCAAATATATAATATCATGCTTGGCACAAGGGACATTTTTGATGGTACCCTTAAGCCTTTTGTTTGTCCACATATAATTATAGATTTTTAGGGAACATGTATACATAATATCAGCAAAACTGAATTATCAATTGTACTAATAAGTATTAATAATCCACTGTATGGGCCATAAAAATATGGGGAAGATTCTAGCCCCACTGAAGACGCTAGAATCATCCGCACGTTTTCGTGGTCTGCATTATATATTTCACAACAGCCTTGACAGATTTTTTTATCTTTATTGTTTATATTTTGTACTGGGGCGTTAATCGTGAAGTATGCGGTCCTTCATGCAAGTTAATTTTTAATTTGTTCTTGATTGTGTATTGGGGGAGAGTATGGAAGTGTGACAAAAAATATACCAGCATAAATGTATAGGTAATGAATAAAGGCAATATTTTTTTATTTAATTTATATCCAATTGATGTTATAAAAAATTAATGCATTTTAAATCTATGATAGATTGTTTTAAGTAATATTCAATTTTAAACATAAATGTGATTTTAGCCTATTGAACATCCTGTAAGAACAAATCAAATCCCACGTCAAATTCCAGAACAAACCATTTATACACAACCATTCCCAGGAATTATTATGGGTGGAGTCTTACCTTTTGGCTGCATATTTATTCAACTTTATTTTATTCTCAACTCTTTGTGGTAAGTTTAACTATAGTAAAATTGATTATGAGAACTTATGACTTGATTTAAGTCATGTAGTGTTTATTTAACTTAAAAATATGAAATAGTATTAATATTTGATTATTTTATGCTATTTTGGGAAAGTTGAAAAAAAAATTAATTTGATGAGTTCAAAATAATATTTATTATATTGCTAATGTAATTTATTTAATTTCAGGTCCAACCAAATGTATTATATGTTTGGATTTTTATTCCTCGTGTTTATTATTCTAATAATAACATGTTCAGAAACTACTGTTCTTTTATGCTATTTCCATTTATGTGCTGAAGTAAGTTAGGTGTATACAAGTGTTTAAGAATTTTTTAATAAAATTATCTTTTACAGGATTATCATTGGTGGTGGAGGAGTTTTTTGACCAGTGCTTTTACATCATTTTATCTATTTCTGTATTGCGTTCACTATTTCAAAACTAGACTTAATATTGAAGGTGTTGCTTCAACTTTCCTTTATTTTGGATACACATTCATAATGGTGTTCTTATTCTTCTTAATGACTGGTAAGTTAACAATGTTCAAACATTTAAAGTTTTTTGTTTTGTAAAATTAAAACTTAATTGGAGTGAAAAATGTTCCTTATTATATAAACTCTTATTCAAACTTCAACTGTGTGATGTATGTTATCCAAACACCAGCATCATATTTGTGTGCATGGTTTTGGGCAAATCATTTTCCTCAGGTTGAATACATTCTTACTAGGTCTTAAGTAGTTCCTATTTTTTGATTAAGTTAACAACATTAAGTTAGTTTTTTGGAATCTTGATATAATTTACATACATATTAAATATTAATAATTGTTAATAATTTATACATAATCAAACTATGATTTTTTTCTATCTTTAAATAGTATCAATTTATGCTGTGCCTAATAAATTAATTGAAATAATTTATTAGTTAAACACCTAACCTACACATATACCAACCATTATTTTGGACAATAGTTTATGATCAAATTTTTATATTCATTCTAATAAATTGAAAATATTTTCAGGTACAATTGGATTTTTTGCAACATTTTGGTTTGTTCGAAAAATATATAGCGTTGTCAAAGTGGATTAATTTAAAATCTTTTCTCTTCTTTTTCATTTAGTTGGTAATTTAATTTTTACTACTATATATTCATTATTATTATTTTATTATATTTTGTACCATAAAACTATATTTGAGTCATCAAAAATGCCTTTTGTGTAAATAATAAATATATTAATCAACATATTTTATAGTTTTAAATATTTAAGGTATATCAAATATTCACATGGTAGATAAATATAATCATACAATTTGGGTTAACCAAATTATTTTAGCAATTACTTCTATTAGATAATTATTTTGGAAAATAACTCCTATTGTTTTTGTCTTATGTAGTTTGTATTAATGCACAACTTTTAGTTTTATCATTATTGCAGTATATATTAAGTACATAAAAAACAATAATATATGATACAACTATTACTTTTGTGTATTACATAACTTTAACTTAATTTTATTTTATCATAATTTCCATTAAAAATATATTTAAAATGGACTATTACACAGTAATCTATTTTTAATCCAAAGTCTATGCATAAGGCATAAATTATAGCTTATAAGTTATAACAGACATTTCAATATTGTTTAATTCACTTGATATATTTATTGGGACCTAAAATATTAAAATCATAGTACTACTAATTGTATTTAATCATTTATTAAGGTGACAATGTAAATTTAAATTATTAAAGAAGTATTTAATTTGCTTCAACTTGAAATGTAATGTCTTGAATTTTAATTGTTGGATTTTTAATATTGTAGAATTTAGGATACTAAGATTTAAATTTTGAATCTAATTGTTTCCTTTAAATTATTACAATGAACTAAATACCATTTATTTGTGTAAATTGTTTGTAACTCATAAGTCACAATTAAGATACATAGTGCATTATATAGTTTGATGATTTATTATTTATATATTTTATTATCATTATCCTATATTTGATTTTGTTTATACTTAATTTAAATAACTGTTTTGTTTGAAAGAAAAAATAATAGGACTATATTTATTTGTTTAAAATACAGTAATTACTTAATATTATAATGTTTAGACTTGTAAATATGAGTAATCATTAAATAAATCAAATATTATTTTGTGTGTTATTATTTTTCAATAAATAAATCTATATTATGGGTAGCATATTTAATACAAATTCAGCATCTGTAATACAAATTCTATATTTTAATATGATGAAAACAGACTAAATATATTCAGTCATCATTCCAAATTATTTTTGATAGGATATGCACTTACAATTACCTACTTACCTACTATAAATGTGTAAAAACATAAAACAATTAACATATGACTGTTTGAGAAAGATTTAACTGGAATCTTACAAACCTACATAATACGAAGGGTCTGATCTAGGTTATATGTTACTGAAAGCAAACATAATTTTAGTGAATTTAATAATACCTCCTTCAAATCAAAATTATTTTAAAGTTTTTATTTCTACAAAATATGTAACTATATAAAAAGGTACACTATTTTTATAATTATTTTAAATAAAATAAAATATTTAAATTTTCAAGTATCTGTTATTAAGGCATTCCGTGCCGGAGGTATCTAATAACTACAGCCCGACCCCTCCATTCTTAAACTAGACACTGTATGAAGGTATTGTATATATTACACACGCTACAATATTATAATTTATATATTATTATGTACCTATGTTCAATAAACAAATCAATAATAATACCTACTTAGTACCTACCTAATCCAAAGTTATTAATTTAACATTTGTCAACAAATGAAATTTTAATACATACATTTAGAGATACCTTTCCCGGGTGTTTATATTTTATTTATTACCAATTCTAAGAAATAATAGTGCTCTTTTGAGTTCTTGAAAATTTCACACAGGTCTTAATTTTTATTTTTCAAGATCGCTACTTAATCCTATTCTCAACAATTGGTGCCTATTCATCCTATTCCTTAGTCCCCGAAATCTTGTGTTTGGCTGCCAGCTTTTTATCTCTTATGTATATGTTATATAAAGTGAAACAATGTAAACAACCCCCTCAAAAATTATTTTTTATAGTGGCGCTGCTGGGTATTCCATCAGCCGTATTGGCTTCGCGAGGGTTGTACAGTGTAAATCAGGCATGGCAACCGAGCCCGGATTAAGACCTTCAGGGGTTCAGGGGCCAAGATATGGTCGTGCCCCCCTCAATGAAAACAACTCTTTAAAATAATAAAACAAATTTAAACAAATTTTTAGTCAAGTTTAATAAAAATTACAATCCTAATTTTTTTGTTATAACATATATCTACAATCAAAATTAGTATTTTATATAAATGTCTTTTTTCTAGCTTTTTGTGTAGCAAATGCTTCTAATGTCTTATCAAAGCTTAAATGTTGTAGAATATCATTTTCGGTGGACAATTTCATTAATGATGACAGATTTTCTTGTATTTGTGTTGATCTATTTTTATTTTTAATTCTGGCCAACTTCGAAAAAGCTCTCTCTGCAGTACCTACTATTAGCAACAGGAATGGTAAGATATATTCTTATAGCAATATGAATGTAAGGGAAAATATTAATAATATTATATTCGGTCATCCATTCAAATATCTTGAGTACGTACATCACTTGTATCAACTGTTGGTTTTAACTGATCCCAGAACTGCTTGAAATGTATTACTTCTTATTTGATGGAGTCATCAAAATAATTTTTATATACACTAATGAATTTATTAAGACTTTCCTCAACATTATTAGTGGAATCAACATGTAGTCTAGTTAAGAATAAAAAGTGTTCAACTACTACACTATATGCATTTATTTTTTTGTCCAGTTTTGAGCAAAATGTATCAATTATTACGTGATGTGTTTCAACCCGAAATTTATCATTAAAACTAAGTATAGTTAAACCCTTATTGTTACCATCAGGAAATTATTTTATGATTTTTATTTTATTTTCGTCTTTGTAGTTTTACTTATTTGGGAGCAAAACTCTCTGACTCTACGTTCATAGATTATGTTCAAATCTCTTAAACTTGAAACAACATTTTTTAAGCTCTTCAACAAATTTACCGCTTGTAAAATATCATTGATTTTGCTTTGTAAATTAATAGATATTTTATTACAATGTTGTAGCTAGTTAAGTATCTAGGTATTGACACAGTCACTAGGAGAAGGAAAGAAAAGGGGCAGGGTTCATTTTGAGTTTTAACAAATAAAGGCTCGCCTTGATGATATAAGAGTATAAACAAACTAATGGACTTAAATTCTTTATCATTATATTATATTTATATATATATAACGTATAGGTATATATACATATCGCAAGGTCTCTTACAACACAATAAAACCTCGGCACTGGTCCAAACGCATAAGAAAAGAAAATCTCTTGAGTATAAAACATGAGTTATCTATATAGATATAAAAGTAGGTAAAATATGTATATCAACGTACGGGTATTTCGGCTTGTACGAAATCCAATTATTGTGCACGGTGGTGTAACAATTTTAGAAATAATAATATTAAATATACCTATAAAAAGTGGAGGCGTTCATTTTTAAAATACATTTTTTGCATTTAGAACTATTTTGGAACTGTAAGAATTGTCTGTCTTTATAATATAGCCGCATATAGCCATAATATAGGTAAGTTACGAAGGTTTATGTTTGACAATGGTGCCTTGTGCCTATGCTGCTATACTACCTTCTAGGTAACAGAGATAATAACATAATTATTCACATTAGTAGAATGTGATAAACATACAAATTACAAGTAGGTACTAGGTACAATCAGTGCCGAATTAAAAATATAAGAGCCCCTAGGCAATGAATGTTTAGGGGCCGCCTCCCAAATTATTTCGAAATAGGTATACTTGTATAGGTAATATTATACATTTTTATAATTACCAATAATTTTAATTATCTGCAGTTTTAATTACAACCTACTAATTTTTATACATAAAACAATAGTCATGTAATTATTTTTAATAAAAATTAATAATTTACAGAGAATAGTAATTATAAAGATCACTATTTCTACAATATTAAATCAAATGTATCGTGTTGTGAAAATTAGATTTGTATTCAGTCAAATTTGATGCTAAGATTAAAATCATTCTTAACTTTAAATATTGTCTATTTTTTCGTGATAAATTTTACAAGGATAAATCTATCTTTTGCTAGACGTCGTATTCGGTGGTTAAAATGGTAAACAAAAAATGATAAGTATGCAAACCGACAAACCGTGCTCGGACGACGAAAGCTGGGGCAATGCACGTTGACGACGACGGTAGATATATAGATTGGTCACTATCGCCCAGGGATGTATTGGTAAAAAATGTCTTGTGTATACGCCATATTTTTTTTAATGGATCTTAAAATTTTTTTTCTCACTCGACACTTGTTCTATACCTATATCTATACCAGACAATTTTTTTTCGCTCCTCTCGAAAAATAGTGTACATAAATATAACATTTATCATTATTCTTACTTCATTATCAGTATCAACCAACAATTTTTTTAAATATAAAATCCATAAATATGTTGAAAATATTATTTTTATTTTTACACTATAGAATTTAAAAGACCAATTCCAAATCTTCAAAAACAATTAATAAAATAATACACACTTTTCCATTTACCTCCATCCACCGTAGGTATAATACCCACCGTATACTTATAAAATAAATATTTTTTTCGAGTATACGCATTTCTTTGTAAATATTGTTATGATGAGTATACGGTATACGCTCCAATATACCACTGCTACCGCCACAACCGAAAAAAAACATTGTCCAACTCCAAAATGTAAAAATTGTTAAAAATCGAATAAAATGAAATATTTTTTTATTTCATACAAATATACAGTATAACATCTAATACCTATACATATTGACTTTTGTTCTGAAAAAAAATTGTTTTCCATTGTCGCAAAGCTCCTAAGTAAGGAGTCTACTAATGAACATATTATTATACAATTAATATACTATTATACCTATACCTATAATTGCCTTCGGTCTGGTAGGTATACATTGCGATAGGTATACTTCTCTCTTTACACTTCTTATATTTTTCCACGTCCAGTAAAAGTAGGTAATAATAAAAAATAATAATAGTAGTAGGTAATAATAATAATTATTATTATTGTTTTATCACCATTAAGATATTTACACAGATTTCGACGTTGACAAGAAGCACCCGGCGAGCCCGAGCTATAGAGCGTAATGCCGTAATGTACAACCCGCGGAACACCCGATCGTCAACGACGCTCGTCGCAGTGTAGGAGGTGTCCGATTACTCTTTGAACATCGGCCAAAGGTGAGAGACGCGGGCGTATAGTAATGTGGTAAAAATGCGGTACGCAATGCCGAGTTATCGAAATGAAAAAAAAACATCATAAACATGTGAAAAACAAATAATAGTTATAACTTATTACCTAATAATAATAATAAAAAGAAGACGTAGAAAAGTCTACAAATTTCAAGACCCTGGGTAGTTCGGTAGTCTTGGTAGATGGTACCGGGGTAGTAATTCACTAACTTTCCTGAAATCCCCACAGGCCCCAGTAATAAATCAAATATAGGTGATTCTGTATAGGCACTCTGACAGGATCTTATTTTGGAAAGGTTTTTTAGTCGTTAGTACAACTATTGGGTACCTTAATCGATTCATCTTTTTGGTGAATAATATACATAGGTATTGTATACCATATACTATATAGATATACCTACCTACATACCATATTGTATATACAGTGTACAACAAGTAACAACAAATCGTAAGACGAAGAAAAATAGTGGAAGT